TAAGGCCCCGAAAAAGGGACTGGCGACGGCGACTGCCAAATTTCGCTTCCGGCCGCATTCACCAGACATTCCCCATACGCCGCGTGGCCCCCGAACAAAATGCCTAACATAAGCCTCTTGCTGGCTAAGCTGACCGCCACACCAGTGTCCGGGGTAACCGAGCTGCCACACACAACCGAGCTGCCCGAGCTGCCCGAGCTGACCGAGCACACCCCCAACTCACTGTCAGCGGCAACAGCTTGCCCTGCAATTACTTCAGACTGTCCGGAAATGTCGCCCCAATCCAGCAGCAGGAGCAAAGGCAGCAGCTGCTTGGAGCAGGTCCGAGGCCAGGTCCTGGCTCGCCAGACACCGACTCCACGACTCGATGTGGCATATGTTGGCCTTTGGCTTGTCTGGACAACTGTCAGCATCCGCTTACACAGCGCAACATGGCCAAGAGCCATTGCAATGTTAGCTCCAAATCGGTTTTCAATTAGCAAAGGAAGCAGTTCGATTCGGGGGTGGGATCTCTGACTTTGTTGCACAGTGTTACCCCTGCCACTCTGCCACATTTACCGGAGGACAACAGCACCCAAACAGGGCGAATGCTCATGCTTGGGCCCTGAGGAAGGGTGTTGGACACGGCGTTAAGGCTGCTGAAATTGCTGATTTTCTCTTGTCGCTGGGGCTGGCACTGGTTTTGTGGCAAGCAGCATTGGTTTTTAATAAATAGCAATACCAATTTGGCAAACCAATCTGAGTTGTGATTATTTTGGCTGGACGCTACGACCGTGGACCGTGGACCGTGGATCGTGGAGCATGGTGCACGTGGTCAAGTCGAAAAGCTTTTCAAATATGCAACAAGCTACACAGGTGGAACCGGTGGAGCAGGGAGTCGCCGCCCCCAATGTGCTACTACTCGGGAGGGTAATGAAGTATTTATGATTGGGCTGATTGCATGTGCCGGACAGTCCTGCCCGTGTGTGAGCTGTCACCTCGGCACCTCGTCTCCCGTTTCGACAGCCGCTGCTGGGGATTTGTGGCATAACAAATTTTTCCGGATAAATTGTAAAATACCACAAATGGCAGTAAAACACGGCACACACAGCGCTAGTCAGTATAGGCGGGGCACAGCAAACTAGAGCGCCCGCCAATCAATATTGATGATGGCCAAATCAAAAGGCAACAACTCCTGCACTCGACATGAATTTTATTGCATTTTTGGCAAGCAGCTAAAACGCATCCACTGCAAATATTCGTCCTGGCTCGTGCTGTTGCAGTTGTTTATTTGGTACTTGTTTGCATAAAAGTTCCCAAGCCCCAGTAGACAGAACGAAAGCCAGGAATTCGGAATCCAACTACTATAACTTGAATCCAAATCTAGTTTTAATTGCCATAAAGCTGATGAACTGTTAATGCCCGACAACGAAAAAAAACAAATACCAGTATGCTGAGATTATTTTGGACTGTTTTGCACTTTCCATTCTGTGGAGATTATCAAAAAAATGAACAACCTTAAAGCTGGGGAAATGCGAAAGAAAAAAGTCGAAATGATACCGAGTCCATTCTTGCCGATTTACGTATCCCAATAGCTCATGGCAAAATTGGCGGCACAGAGTTGAGCCTGTGAGAAACCCAGGAACTCAGAACTGGGCAAAAACACTGTCAATACCCGACAACAACAAAAATGGTCAACAAATACGAGTATGCTGAGATTATTTCGGACTGTCGACTTCCTATTCTGTGAAGAGATTGATTCCAGAAAAAAGAAGACCCTAAAATGGATGGGAAAATATGAAATAGTAACCTCTGGGTAGGTTTTTTCCTGGTGGATTGGTCAATTCACCCACTGTGCACTGTGCGCCCCCTGGCGGATAGAGCTCCAGGTCTCCAGGTTCCATTTATTACCGCCAGGGTATTCATATATGTCCAATAAAAAATTTCGGCTAGATGGCGCCATACCAGTTATCTTTTTGGCGGGTTATTATTATTATTATTGTATTAATTATTATTTCGATTTAACACAAGCTTTTTTAAGCGTTGAGGTCAGAGATCAAGATTCCAAAACGCTGGAAATAGTCGCTGGTGTTGCCACACCAGCGAACGACTCTAAGATCAGTGTTGTTTAGGGGCTGCGATCCGGGCTGCCACAGTACTCCGCATAGAAAAGTTACAAATCTTTAGTTTTGTCTTTTTTTCTCATATGTCCGTAATGGGACATTTGATAGCTGATCGTCAGAAGAGCTGGTCTCGGGATTTTCCATAAATGCTAGCCTGTCGACTGAAATAGCCGTCTCTTTTCCATTAATGCGGATGGTGAAGACCCGGTCTGATGGCTTGGATGCAATCGGGTATGGTCCTGTGTACGGCGGCGCCAAGGGTTTTTGTACAGCATCAGTCCGAACAAAAACATGAGAACAATTGTGAAAATCCTTAAGCAGGAAGAGTTTGGGCTTGATGGGATGCGAAGCTGGAGTTGGCTTTACCACCTACTTTCTTCTCCTGAACTGGCTGGCAAAGTCGAGTGGTTCCGACGGCACATCCATCTTGAAGCACGTGCGGAGGCCCAACATGACGGTTGGAAGCAGCTTGATCCATGGTACATCCGGTTGGCACATCAAGGAGACTTTCATGGACCTGGACCAACGCTCGATCATGCCATTTGACTGGGGGTGGTATGGCGTCGTGTGTCATATTGCTTCACATATGGTCTCTGCAGTCATATCCTTCAACGGCTCTGACTCCGGCCAGCGGGAAAAAGGTCAATCATTGTCAGACAATATCTGTATCCGTCAAACAAGGGCATCACAACGATATCTAAATGTATATGTTCCATCGGGGACGGTGATCTTTTCCGGAATCAACGCGTTGTGCTTATGGATTTTGGCTCGTTGGCACGGAAGGCAATTCCTCGACCACTCCAGAACGTTCTTACGATTTACGGCCAAACGTACTTTCGAGAGATTTGTTTGAGAGTTGAAGTGTAATTCGCAATAAATATGCAGCCAAACCAGTCCGGAGACCAACTCAGTGTCAGGCAGTGGCCGATAAGGATGAGCTTGCCGGAATGCCGGGTCCATGGTTTCCCCAGTACTTCGACACGCCCCCTCAGGGCCTGATTGTGGTGCATTCTGTGAGGGATTCGTCACCTCATCCGTGCCACGGATAAGACTGGTATTTAATTAAAATTTCTGGAAGTTGACATGAAAGATAACTGTTAGACTAATATTCGAGGAAAATTAGCATTCAAGTTACTGAGAGAACTAGGCATGCATGTAAAATACAATACCACTACAATTACTAATTACTAGAAAGGTGTGTAAGAGGAAAAGAATTAGTGGTGGATATAATATGGTAGAGGGAATTATAATCCGAGCATAAGACCCTAAACGGTTCATGCAAGGAATAATTCGATCTACAAAGTGGAAGGAACAACGGTAAAAAATTTCTAGTAAGTCTAATACGAATCGTGAAGTTTATGCGGCTCAACAGATCAGGGCTGTCTATGTCACCCCTGATCAAGTTGTGCATACAAATCACACCAAGCATTTTTCTACGGTTAACTAAGGATGGGAGGTTTACTAATAGCAGTCTACTAGAGTAAGATGGGAGTCTCACACCTTCTTCCCAGTTAAGGCCCCGCAGAGCCAAGACTAAAAAGTTTTTCTGTACTGATTCTACTACTTTGTACTGAGAGCACCATACACAGGAGTCGTATTCCAAGATCGGACGAACGTATAGAGGTATAGAGGACGAGGTATAGAGAGTCTTTGTTATATAGGGGTCGTCAAATTCCATTGACCACCTCTTTATAAACCCAATCACGCCCATGTCCTTATTTACCATGGTAGAAATGTGTTCGGAAAACTTTAACTTGGGGTCTAACCTAACACCCAGATCATCCACTAGGGTAATTCTCTCAAGAGAACCACCAAATAGGGTATAGGGAGCCAACAAGGGGCTAGAACAATGAAATTTCATCACCATGACTGAAACATGACAAAAACCATGACAAAATCCCTAATGAGGCTATTAAGCTTCGAAAGCTCGGCTTCAGCGTTCAGCGTTCAGGTAGCCTACGTACGCCAGGTAATTCCCATTGATGGGAACTGCCGGTGGGGCAATGTTAATACTTGCACAGCTTCATATTTGTGTGTGTGTCCATCACAAGGGAGGTCCAACATTAATTTTTGCTCAAAACAAAGCCATTTTAGACCTTCACAACCTTTGCATTCACAATTTGTTACTCCAATTTCTTGAAAAAATATGTAGACTTACATAGCTAATATAAAGCGAAATTCCCTCAGCTGGAAGCTGCAGTTGAAGCAATATTAATGCCGGAAGAAATGTACCACTTTAATGAGGTAGGGGATAGATTCTAATTAACTTTAATGAATATTCAGTTGGTCGTTGATAGGATTGCTTATTCTTAATTACATTAAGAGAGATCTAGTCTAATCTCTAGTGCTTCTACCCATCCGCCCCACACATAGAATACAGTCCACTCTCCGAAAACCCTCGTTGAGGGATTTAAATGATTCGAAGATAAGGTTTCTGTTCTATTGAACAGATAGTATCTTTCTTGCGAAATGTATCTCCGACTAAGATGCCATTCAGATAAGTCCCAATCTCAAGGACTTATTGCCGTGATAGCATATTTAAAAGTAGTTTTCCTGGAAGGTTGAGAACCTTTTTTAGGAACTTTCGGTTGTTATGAACAACCGCTGCTTCTGCCGTGAGTCAGTAATCTTATCTAGTCGGGGGCTTTCTTCGCTTTTGATTTCTTTTTATTTTGCTTTTTTGCAAGACCTCGCCAAAGGTCTCCCCGACCGCCGCCTGCCCCACCGGAAAGATAAGCTGGCCCTGTTGAAAAAGTTAATTAAAGACGGAACTCTCTGTAATCACGGTGTTGCTCACGGCAGCTGAGTGGCTGTGCTTGTGCCTGTTGTCCGTGGGCAATACGATTGTGCGTATATAAGGCAGGGCGTCCCTACAGCTGACACCACATCTGCCTAGAACGCTCAACAGTAACCATGAAGTTCCTCCTCAGTCTCACCATCCTCGTCGCCGCGATCTTCGTGGTGTACGGTTCCAGCGCCAGCTGGGGACGCCGCAACAGCAACGACTATCTGCTCTCCCGCCAAGTGGAGGTCCGCAGTCCCATTAAGAACAACTACTGGAACGTCAACGTCGACTTCCCACGTGCTGTATGTACTCGTATTCCTACTTGAAGTGCTAAAGGCGGAACACATTACTAATTTGATTCCCCATCGATTGCAGGGCACCGTCAACTACTACAACATCTCCGCCATCTTCGTGTACGACAACTTCAAGAACACCTCTGGGGCCGCTCCCGCCCTGTGGTCCGGCGGACCAGGCTTCCGCTTCGCTCAGATCAACCTCCGCAGCCAGGTGAACCGTGGCCTCAACTCCACCATCGAGATCTATGGACGCTAATCCAAGGATGCAATAGAACCGAATAAATTTTAATAGAAACTGAAAAAAAAACCGAAAGTGTTCATCGACTGGATGTTCTCATAATTTGGTATCGATCTTCCAACATACTATTTGGCTAGAAGGCACACATACACGCCCCTGTCAATAGTATAGCATCATTAGATACATCATCCGCGTATATGCAGATATTTGGCCTAGGTCAATAGCAGAACTCTCTTCAAATGTGTAGAGCTTTCTCCCTGTCTCCACATGGCTCTGGGCACAAAGGATGAAAGTGGCATTGAAGAGGGAAAGGAAAACTTTTCCTTGAAAGAATGAAAGAGGAAGACCGGCGAGACGGCAGAGACTTATTGGCCTTGGCTCATTTGATTCCGAGGGATGGTGTAAAATTTGTATTTCAAATTGCCAAAAGCAGCCCCAAATGGTGTGAGGGGGGCGGGGAGTGGAGCACGGTCAAAAGGATATGTCGAAGCGCAGTCCCTTTTTTTCTATTTCCCCCATTCATGTATCGAATGTAAATTTCAATTTTAAACGTCTTCGGGCTTTAGGCCTATCACGACCACTTCCACCATCTCAAATGCTGACACACTCACACATATCGACAAAACAAAGATGTAGAAAATGGAACATATCATACGCGAGGATACCCTATTCATGGAGAGCCCTCTTGACACATCTGGTCGTCCGGAACCGATCTCAAACCAAATTTTGTACCCAGACTTCTGCCACATTTAAAAATTTAGCACCGCACGGGCGGGAAAACCCGTTTTATGCTTTTTTAAATAGACGCTTTAGGAGGTAAGGGTTTTTTCCTGGTCAATTCGCCCACTGTGCACTGTGCGCCCCCTGGCGGATAGAGCGAGATATAACTGTCTCCAGGTTCCATTTATGACCGCCAGGGCATTCATATATGTCCGATAAAAAATATCGGCTAGGTGGCGCCATATCAGTTATCATAGTTCTAAAAACAGCCAGCATTTTTGAGTAATAGATGAAATGACAAGCAGATGGCGAGCATGGAAGTATTTTAAACGAAATCTATCGTTCATTTTTTCAAATGTATGTATGTACAGGAATATGCATATCAGTGTCACAATTTTTATAAAAATGTATTAATTTATTGAATAAACTTACTGGAACATGTTTTAAAACACTGCGCCTGCATATTTTCTTTATATATATATATATATCTTTCAATATTAAATAGTTATGTACTTTGTATGATTGTATACATGTGTGTATGTATATCCATGCATGGAATATTTTTCACTCCACCTATTTTTTCTTTCCACCCCGAAAATCACCCAACGAGTTTCATTATACAATACTCACACCAACACACTTCCTCGCACACACACACAAACACACACACACAGTAACTGAGAAGTATTTTCCTTTGTTTTGACTTTTCCTTTGCGCATTTTGAGCTCATGGAAAGATATCTTTCCATATGGCTGACTTTGAATGGAAGTGTAGATACAGTTTTTCTGCTGTCATTTTCGTAATGAATAATGAAGGGAAGACGTGCAGCCTTTGCCGTTCCGTGAATGGGAAACTTTGCAGCAGGTCTGTCATTCAGATGGTTCGGAGCTTTGTGAACGCAACTGTACTTGTTTTGTTTTTGATGTCGCCGTACTTTGCGCCTGCCTAACATAGGCTCCATTACACTAATCAGCTCTTAAGGTCTCCACCAGCAGCGTTAACGGCCACGGTATCCAAGGTATGCTTTTTTTGGACTTGCAACGAAGGGAACAGGCATCCCGTAGAGTCAGCTCGGATCAGCGGCACCGCTTAATATCCGCTCATCTCTCATTTCTCAACCAAATCCCATGCCAATACCAAAGGAAATGACCACAAAGAAATGCAGCAAAGAAGAGGTATACCGCCTTGCGTCCTTTTTGCGAAAGCACCCACCCACCAACGAAAGTCACCGACGCCCAGCACACAGGCAGCATTTGTGCGGCCATTTAGATCCAGCACCAGCACCAAGATGTTGCTGGATGATATGATCTGCTGGTATCTCCTTCTCTCCTTATCGACGTTGTTGGCGCCTTCATTCCCCGGAGGTCCTTCTGGACATACAAATTTCTTGTAAGAGACTCTGTCGAACCCTGAGCTATCTCCTCTGCTACAAAGGATTTTCTGGGTGGCATTTTTTCGTTCGTGTTTTCACCACGCCGCACCACCAACCCCGCCCCATGAAGCCCATCAATAATAACGGTTTGTGCAGACAACATAAAAACGCCCAACAGAAGCGAGAAAACCAATGGCACCATTCGGCTGCACGAAGTTGCAATCGTGAGCCAATACGAAATCAGAAACACTTCGGGTGTCTTTCGGCGACCAATCGGACGTTCAACCAACCCGACCTGTTTGTTTGTCTTTTCGTCGATTCCAATTCGCCGTACGGCGAACTGTATTCGCTCGCAACCGGTTTTCTCTCGGTGGAGTGGATGGTTCTTCTGTTCTCTCTTCTCTTAATCTCCTGCCTTCATTTTCTACGTCAGCCTGTACTTCTCTGATGAGCCATGAATACCATACCATAATAATGAAAATGGATTTGAAAATGGAACATTTTTTTCGCCCAAAACCTCAAAGTTGTTATCAAACAACCTTACATGTATGTATGTATAACCTTCTTGTATATGTATGTATATTGGATAGACAGTTTTGAAGAAGGCCCAACAGTTACCTACTAAAAAAAAGATCAATTCGATTTCATTCGATATATTACTTAATGTATATTATATTAATGTGACTTACTGTCAAACGGGATTCAATTCGTCTGCCTGTGGTGGTTTTGCTCAATGCTCGGTACTGTGGGTACGATTATTCCCTCGTTAACTTTTGGCTACTACTGTACTAGAAAGCATAGTGATTATTCATCCATTTGTTCGTAGGATGGCTTCTTCTGGCAGCTTACGGAGGCACATCATCCTCCGCTGTGCGAGGGCGTTTTCGCCTCCTCTTCCTCCACGCCACTCCACACTACTCTTCCCATAGTTCTCCATTTTCGGTTTTTATGCTCGTTCGCCCCGCGGTTGGCCTTCTGAGTGACGGGCCATAAAATGGTCGTTTGCCTCCGCAGCCGCTGCCACCACTGACTCATTCCCCAGCTCGGAGCTCCTCGGCCGGTTGCAAATTACCATTTTTAATGAAATGGCCTGTCTGTCGAAAAGGTAGATTTATAGAGACCTCCGCCGCTGGCATATTCGGTAGCCAAAAGTGGGCCTGGGGGCCTGTGGGCGCGCTAATGTTAATGGGATTGAGATGTTTGGCAGCTTCCAATTTGAGAAAAACATCGTGGAACTATTAAGAAACTAATTTTATTGGCTTTTTTACAGAAACCAATGAAATATACAATCCCGCTGCCGGGAGAATTGAGCTTACAATCAATTTCATTCAAGTTAAAACATTGTTGAAAATCAATATGGGAATTACCATATTTTTGATCATTACCTTCACGGCATGATATTATTTAAGGTTCTACGGACACAGAGTATGTTCAAGCTTACCATATCTTATCCCATCCGTGAGTACCTACATATTTTCTTTGAATTTAATGGATTGTATTGTCACAAATTTCTGTCAAACAGTTTTTGTAGGGGTAGGAACACCTCTATCTGTTCGGAAGGACTATCGTTAAAAGAGCTTTCCTCTACACACTTTCATATATATCCATCATTAGCGCTGCCTGTGCCTCCTTCCTGACCGTAATCGCCACCGCCTTCGAAGTTCCTGCCACAGAGCCACGCATCGAGCACATAAAATGGCGTCAAAGGCAAATGGGTTGTGGCTCGGCTGCCGCATCGATTGACGTCATACTGCGCCACACAGGATTCGGACACACACACGGACATGCCAGCAGCCAACGGTAATGTAATCCCGGGAAGAAATTAAATTTTATCGGATTCTTTCCCGGGGAGCAAGTGCCGTAGGGGCATGGGGCATGGGCAATGACATCATTGCTGCGACGCATATTTGCACTTTAATCGAAACCAAAAATGCGCAATCGAAATGCCACAGCGACACGCAAAATGTTCTATAATTAAAATGTTTCACATGCGCCCCAATGCCGAGGCACTCGTAATTGTTTATAAATAAATACGCGTACGGGTAAATACATGAATGCCGTAATTTGGGGGGGCGGCAGTGGCACAGGCAGAGCATTTGCCAAATATAATTGCCGCTTCAGTGGCACATCCTTCGAGGGGTGGTGGGAGCCTAGGGGCGTGTGCCTAGTCTGGTAGGGACACTGCATAAAAACCACAGTTAAACGAAACAATATAGAGTTGACTTAATCAACGTCATAAATGGCGCCAGGCATGCACTTCACCCACGCCGCCCACACAGTCACAACCACATAAAACTCTCATCCCCGGGCTCACCCTCGAGCTGCCAGTCCACTCCTGCGCCCCACCCGCCACTCCCCCCACAAACAAACGATTTGAACGTTTCAATGTTTTTTTTTTCGGTTTCGCCATGCTACGTAATGGGTGAAAAGCGGCAACAGCGCACCACAAAAGTAAATTGTAGAAAAGTGCGTTTTTGATATGTACGGGTATGCATGTGTGCATGTGTGCATGTGTGTGTATGTGTGCTGACAATATATTTTCGCTCGCCGAATTCGCCGCACTTTTAGCCGGTCGAATTGAGAGAGTGGTGAGAGAGCAAACGAGCGACAACCAAGAGCGGGAGAGAGAGAGAGAGACTTCCGAAAGCGCGGAAAATTTCTTCTCGTTGTTTTCGTGCCGAACTGAAAAGTGGCAACATCGCCTTTGAACGCTAATTGAACGTTTTGCTCCGCAAAGCCACAAAAAAAACAAAAACAACGCAAAAACAGGCCTCTAAAATGTATTTTCGTACGGTTTTTTCCTCTCTGCTGTTCTCCGTTTTTATCACGACTCGACTAATTATATTTTGCTGCTTTTGTGTCATGCTTTTTGCTGAAAATCTGCGCCGCTTACGTGTCCGGCGGGCAAATTGCTATCCGCCGCTCATTTGCCGCATCAGTTGGCAGCACTAAACCGTTGTCGTCGTCGTCGTCGTCGTCGCTAGCGTCGGCCTCCATTGTTTTTCCACTTCGGAGTGTCTGCAAAGTTGGCAAACAATCGCTTTGTTCGGGCCATAAGTCTTCTAAATTGGCTAGATGCTGAATTTGCAGTTTGGAAAGCAAAGCCGTGGCTCAGGCACAGGGCCAGAAAGCCCCACGGCGCAGACTAAACTTCTCTCGAATCTTCCACAGAACTGACTTTCTCCAGGGCTGTGTGTGTGCATTTTGTCGCACATAAATATGTACATATGTATGTTCAGAGCATGAACCAGAGCTCTTTTCAAACTTAAAGCTCTGTAAAAATCAATTGAGCAATTAATACAATTCTGTTAAGATTTTACTTATCTTAACAACAAAAAAAAATTTCGATATTCTTCTCCGTTACATTGAACCAAATAAGCTGTGGGGTGGAAAAAGGCAATATTTTTGATATTTATTATTTAAAACGTCTTAGAAAAATGTTTAAAAATATAAGAAGTTTGTTTTGTTTAAGTTTAAATATTTGTCCATCAGTAGTCTTTTGATTTTCATTGGTAAGTTTGATGGTTTAGAAGATATGAAACTTTTTAATTTGTAACGTGCTTTGGTTCATTTAAGCGGACGCTTTGCCTATTGCACCGAATTAAATAATCTATAACATTCTATTCTATACACATGTTTAATAACAATAAATTATCTAAATATTTACATATTAAATAATACGTTTATATTACTTTAAATACAGCACGGCATCCTTTAACAATTAGTTAATTTGCTCAAAATCGCTACGCGGAGATGTGTCGTTTGTGGCACGGTTTAAAACTGGTTCAAAACCATTGACACGGCCGGTCTTTTAATATTACCGCCGTTCTATTCTATTCGGGTATAAATGTAGAGTTGCCATTTTCCGTGAATTTTTTTTGCTAGTCATCTTTTCTTGTTTTGTGGTTTTTTATCATATCAAATAATTATAATTATTATTATTTTAATTGTGGCCCGCCGCATCCCCGCCATCCACAAAATCCATTGTACCGGCCAATGTACCAGCAGGGATCTCAACCGTAGGCAGATCCACAGACAACTCCATGGCAACTCCGGCAACAACAACAACAGCAGCCCCCTGGCCAGCATCCCCTGTATCCCGGCTTGGGAGTGGGCGTCAGTGGGGCACCGACAAGTGCACGTCAAGCGGGACAACCGTACGGCAGTCAGATGCAACATCAGCCGAGTGCACCAGTGGAGTACCTTAATTCCGTTCTGCAGGCTGAGCAGCAGCAACAACAAGAACATCAGCCCTGCGGAGGGAGCAGCCATCGTGCGCGCCCCCAAGCGGGTGAAGCCCATTTTCTGTTCCAATCTGACGGCAGGACAGTTGCTCCAGCTAGCCCAACAGTCGGCCGCAGCCAGCCCTGGCCAATCCAGCGTCAGTGTGTTGCTGATGACGCCCGTCCAGAGTTTGCCGGACATTGTTCAGGCGCTGTCTAGCATCGTGTCCATGTCCATCCTTTACCTGCACCGAACACGCCCACCCAGGCGCATGGCCTGCCACCGAAGGACTACACTGGCGTACAGGATGCCAGCTTCGCAGTCACCACAGCAACAACAGCATCACCAACAATCTGGTGGCCCCCAGCATATGGCGGCGCAACAGCAGCAACAACAACAACAGCAGGCAGCGGCAATGTTGCCGGCGGCCCAGCAGCAGCAACAATTTGATCCGTTTGCCAATATATTGGGTGATGCCAGTATGGCGGAAGCAGTTATCAGCCTGCTTGGACACAACTTACCAAACCGAAGAGGCTGGAGGTCCTCCTGTTTGGTCCCGAAATAAGCAAATTATTCGAAAAAATGCAGAAGCGGAGAACCTTAGTAATACGGACTGAATGTTCCGAAAGGAAACTGCCGAAAACTAAGCACGGAGTTAGTTGAGCTCTGTCCGCAGGAGAATCTGGAGTACTGGTGCCCAAAGAATGGCGAGGGACCTATGCGCAATAGGTCCGAGGACGAAAAAATACTGGTAAGCTGCATAGTAATCCTAATCCGAATAGTTTCAATAAAGACACTTTTCACCAATCAGAGAAGAACAAAACAGAAAGAGAGGAAAGCTGCCAAGAGGAACCTAGAGGAGGAGGCGACAAGTGTCCAACACACACTCGAACAATTCTTAACCGATTAGATATATGCGGTGACTTTCATTAAAATCTCTATTTATAGGTTTCCTGAGCCTTGATCGAATGCGAACAACAACCAGAACAACAGTGAAGCGGCCAAGTAGACATCCTTGAGGATCATCATTGATTCTCCTTCTTCTGAGGATCGGACTCGCTGCCCGTCTCCGACTCGCTCTCGCCCGACTCGGATTCTTCGGATTCATGCGATCCTAATGTCATGACAACTGCAATTCCATGACAGATAAAAGACAAATCCGAGACAGATTTAATCTCTCCAGACATTAGGAAAGCAATGAGATCCCAAAGTTCATTTTTTTCACTTCTTTAGAGAATTCTAACTAATATAAGAAAACATTAGAAGGTAAATTCCGCTTTGGAATCCTCAATACTCCTTTTCAATAAAACAAAAAGATGACGAATTAACATTAGTTGCCACTTTTGGGAAGCCTTGATTTGGGATATATTTTGTGAGGGTGAGCGAGCACCCGTTTCAACAAACATCACCAGTTACAAGTTTTTAGAAGTCAAAAATACTAAAAGTAACAGCACTGATTTTCCTCTAAGATATATAAATAGTCAGACAATGGAATATTGATTGGGTCTCATACAGGAACAGATAATGATGAGAACAGTACCAAAGGGTTTCAAGGAAAAACTGTTACAGCAGGAGGTACAGTCTATACAATCTATTTTGCTGTTTATATTTTTAAATCACGAACGATAAAATGGCTAATGGCTACATGCCGATGATATGATATCAGGTATTGTACATCAAAAGTTCTACCGAATTATACCGATTTTTTGTAAAATTGGATGTGTGTAACACCCAGAAGATCGCGCATTCGACTGATCTGCATCCAGAACCGAGTCGATATAGTCATGTCTGTCTGTCTCTCTTGTTCAACGCCTAGTTCTCAGAGATTATAAGAGTTAGAGGAACCAAATTTTGTATCTAGACTCCTCTGATAAGACAGACTACTTGTGATCGAGCTCTGTTCGAGGATCATCTGATCATTATATAATCGAAAGATTAGATAAAACAAAGCTAATGCATTCAACTTCTTCCCGATATCGTTATCCAAAATAATATCAAAATATGTCTGCTTTTGACAAATTATTTGGCTGTTTTCTTTTATAGACATCAAACGATAGTACAGTTATTCACTAGTCTGTATTGGTGGAGAGTTAATGATATAATTTTATTAAAAAAACTAAATGATTATTTAATTATTTCGTTTAGTTAAAATCTTGTCAGCTGTGATTTCTATTTATTTCGACCTTATTTGTTATATTTCATATTTATAACATTTCAAATTTCTCACAATAAATTTTGCTTGGGTCATATCAATTGCAGAGAGTATTTTCAACAAATTTCAAATATATATGCTATACCATTTATATAGTGACAAGATCTTTGCCTATTTACCAGCCTAACTAAACCAATTGATAAATGTAGCTTCGAATTTAAGGAACCAAATAATTAAAACTTATTGTATCAAATACTAGGTATATTGACGGCTGCGTTTTGCCTGGGATCCGCGCGTAACAGCCTTCTGCTGGTGTCACACGGGCCACTTGACGGTGCAGTAATTGCATCGCCTCTTGTTAGATGCAGTCATTGCATGTCAACGTCCAAAGAATATGGGTGGCGCATGCGGTTTCTACACCGAACTGGAGGCTTTATTGAACATTCTCTTCAGCTTATAGAGGCCGAAGAGCAGGAACCAGTAGCATACGATAAGCACAAAGATGCCCGCAAATGTCACCAGACAGCTAGTGGGATTTCTCCAATCCAATATGGGATACACATAGGGATTGCCATGTTCATCTGTGCCCCCACAGAAATGATAGATGAGGGTGAAGACAAAGAACAGAATTGCCAAAGCTATGCTGTAGACCACATGAAGGAGCCTCAGTGGAAATGCCACGACCAGGTAGTCGATCAGCATCATCACCGTGTTCAGTCCATGGGTAATAACGTTAGTAACCGGAAAACGCAAGGGTTTATTCATCTTGCCATGCAGGAAGACCCAGTACACTGTGGAGATGCTCAATGCCATCGTTATGGTCATATTGTACAGCCACCAGTAGATTTTCAGTCCCCTCGTGGTCTCCGTTTTGTTGCCTGACTCCTGCACTAGACTCCGGGTATTCCTCAGATCGTAGTGCCAACAGGTGACCTGCACTGCGGCAAGGAGCATGGTGATGGTGCACAGACCATATCCCCAGTTGGTCATGTAAATGAAGAACTTCCCACCGCAGAACTGCATAATAATACACATGATATGGACGCCCAGGAAGAACAGGGCCCATATCCATCGATACAGAAGGTAGAGGGCGTTGGTGACACCCTTTTGCCACTGCGATCGGTAGAACAAATCTACGCCTTTGTATGCGAAGCCGAAATTCTCCCGCTGCAGTTCCTCGTTGAGGCTCTTGCAAAAGTCATCGAAAAGTTTCATATTCTTAGGTTTTTATTGTATCGCGGGACAGAATTTCGAGGAAGAGACCTCCGACATGAGTCGCGTATAGCCGGCAATTGTATACTTTTTTTTTGTATTCACCTGTCAAAGTATTCATGAAAAAGTAAAGAAAACGGACCTGTTATATTGACTATATATTTTTAGATGTATTTTTTTAGCACAGTCAATCGGAAAAAATAGAAAGAAAAAATTATGATCCTTCGAGCCGGATTTGAACCAGCGACCTATGGATGTCTACTTTTCTGTCAATCGCTCTACAGTCCACCGCTCTACCAACTGAGCTATCGAAGGCTACGAGCGGGAGGGGACAAAGCAGCCTGATAACGTCGAGGGGCGGCGACGACAGACAGCCGACGAGGTGGCGACTAGGGACGGAACAGAAACAAAATACATATGCACATAACATAAAATAAATGCCAGGGAAATAAAATAAAATAAAGCAAAATAATACGCAATAAATTCTGCGTTCGCTTCGGCTACATGTAAATGAATTTTCGGATTCCGCTTTGCTGCTGAGAAGCAAAGTCGCCAGCAGAGGGAGAGAGAAGCAAAAGAGCTGAAGCGAAAAAGCACAAAGAAATACTCGTAAACAGAAGCAAAGGCAAAGCGCTGACGTTCCAATTTAGCGCAACTTTCGCTACTTGTCGCCGCCCGATGGGTGCCTACAGAGGGGAGGGCGGGGAGCACTGGACATGGAGGTGGCGACGTGCAAAGCGCACAGAGATAACGTCAGCTTCAGCGTTGCCGCTCTGCAAACGTCATCAGCATAGTTTTCATCAGTCTGAAATTGTACATTTGTGTGTACATATGTACGCATTTATGTGTGTATGTATGCTGATGAAAGACGCCGAACAGAGATTGGAGCCGAACGCTGCAAAAGCCGAACAGAGCACACGAAGGCAAAAACAAGAGAGTGGGAGATCAGAAGCCAAGAACAATGTATGAAAGAGAGGGGAGTGTGAGAGGGCAACTGAGGCCCGCAGTGTCACGTTTGTGGGTGGAATGGGATGGCACACACAATGCAGCGGAAGCAACCCATCGTGTCGCACTCGCAAAAGCAATATGCGGACCCTTGTCTGGGTGCCCGTGCCCCTCACCATCCATATCCACCCACTGAATGGAATATCCACTCCGATTCCCTCCGTTCACCGTTCCGTCCGTCTGGCGACTGGCATGACACTCCATTTTTTATTTTCCGCCGCATGAAAGCAATTTCTGCAGCTACCACTCCCTCTCCCGCTCCCCTGCTGGTCGCTGCACTAATTGGAGCACATGATAAAGTAACTTTTTGGAAAACAAAGCCATGGCTCCCCACCAGAGAGGGAACCTGGCGAAGCACTCACCAGCGCACACACACACACACATAAAACCCACCCACCCACTCAGGCGGCTACTCTCCGACATTTGTCACGAAAAGGTCTCTGGAGTTGCAACCTTTCCATGTTGCTGCTGCCACTACCGCTCCCGCTGCTGGGGGCTGCACCTTCTCATTTTTCAGTTTTCCTCTGTTGCTTTTGCGGAAAATGTCAAAATATAAATCAATTAACTTTCTGGGAAAACTTTGGGCTAAAACTTTCAAAGCAAATTTATCGCTGCCACATCGTGTTGCATAGCCAGGGGGGTTGTCGGGCGGTGCCATGGTGTTGCAGGGTTATTTATGTGCCGCGGGCAGGTCATTTGTGCGCTATGCGGAATGATGTGTTAGTTGCGGCACAGCGGATGGGGTTGCCGTACTCCATTTTGTTGTAGGAACAATGGGTTGGTTTTAGGTGCTTCAAAAATAGCATTTAATGGAAATTTAACTTTGATTATACTACATTGTTGTAGAGTTAAGTCATTGAGTACCACAAATAGCTTTAGTTAAAGCAATTGCAGCAATTGTATGTGCATTGCTGATGGTTACAGAAATGCAGAATAAACGATTGTAAAAAACTACATATTAAAACATATTTTGTACATAATCGTTACTCTGCGTTTACAAATGATTGGATCCCTTCTGTCGAATGGCGCTGAAAAACTTTATCTGCGTGGGAAATACAATAATCGTTTAAGTTTTCAAAGGCGAAGTTCACACAACAATTCTAAGGAGTAATGTTTTTGGATTTTCCTGAATATTCCATCGTGCCACAATCATTTTATATAGATATAGACAAATACTTAGGAGTGTGCCGAAAATAGTGGGATACAAAATATGTCTATCGAATTATGATGTCAGCTTTAGATGTGGAAATTATCAGATTAAGTTTATAATCTCGCTCCGCACATTTGACACTTCATTAGATATATCCATCAAATCGCGGCCCCGACTCGTGCCAACTTTCCTTTGCCAGCAAACGGATCCAAGCGAAACGAAAGTTCATTAAGTGGGGCCGTGTTCATGGATAGAAAGTTGATCTGTTGCGATAGACAGCGATATGTAAACACATGAATGTATCTTCAAAGGCCTTCATAGGCGCTATTTACAAACAAACAAGTTGTTCAGCCATATAGACATATTATATACATATCTATGAGTATATAGATTCATATATATATGTATATATGGATGTACGTACGGTTGGATGGTTTTATATATGTAATGATAAACAAAGAAATCATTTCAATCGCCTTTTTTCAAGGCGAGCACATTGAATGTTTACAGAGAGAGGGACACACAGAGAGCGTGTGTGTGTGAGAGAGAGGGGGATAGAGAGTGTGAGAGAGGAAGCTTTTAATCAGTGGAATTCATTAAGTTCAACGAAAATGAAAATAATGAAATAAACAAATTGAAAATTCTGTCGTTACGTTGCTCTTTTCTCTGCTCCGATGATAATCTGCTCTGCAATGCCACTCTTCTCTTTCCTCCCTGCAGCTCTCCTCCGCCTATGGTGCCTATTTCTTCTCTCTTCTCTCATTTTGTTGGAATTTGAATCTCTGTCAAAACGATTAGTCGTTGCAGTTTACTCTTTGCCCTTCTCTCAACCATTTTGTTGTTGCTTTGGCTTTTGCTCATTCTGTTTGATTTGTCGCTTTTTCTGCCCATTACCACCGCCTCCACTCCCAGGGTTGTGCCCCTGCAACCCACTCGCTTTGGGTCTCTAACCCACTGCAGAAGCGAGTCAATAGAAATTTGATACTTCTCTCCAAGGAGAGGAGAGGCGACAAACACACGCACACAGAGATACATGCATGCATAAGTGTTTCAGATACTTCACAAGACACGGCTGGATCGGATCCATGGCCCAGGGTCTGGGGACGGGACTGGCGACTGGCGACTGACAGCGGTTGTGAATTTAGATGCCGATAAGTAAAATGTATCTGCGGCCAAAGCTAAAATTCGAGGCGCAAAATTCAATGCGAAAGCAACAAAACAACAACTAGCACAATACCAAAAGCGTTGCCAGACAACAACAACAACATAAGCAACAACTACAGATACAACAAAAGCAACAACAACAGCAACAATAATAATAGCTTGCATAAATGGAACCAGTTTTGTGGCCGAGGAACCAAGCAAAAGTCGGAGACTTTAGTTAGCGTCAGCTTTGAGTAAATTTATGCGGCCGCTGCCAGAGGCAGGCAGGGGCTCAGGGGGGCGGAGACAGAGACAGACAGACGGCGGCCTCTGTTTAGACATCCAACTCGAACCAGAGGCCGACTCTCCTCTCCGACAGAGTCTGCGGCGACAGACTCAGACCCAGAGTCGGACCCGAAGCCAGAGTTCCACCCCCCCCTTCCACCACGCTTCGGAGGCCTAACCTGGTCGGACGGTCGCTCGAATGCCGAATGCCCAAAACCGACAGACGACATGTGAATATTAATGCTGTTGCTGGCTTCGGACTCCGAATCCGGGGAATCGCAACGGATCGCAACCGATCGCAGAACGAACCCAGTTCTGGTGACAAAATTTGTAGACTCTGCCGGTTCTTATTCCGCTTCTCCTTTTCGTGCGCGCAACTCCAGACTTTTCGTTTGTGCAAATTGCAAATTGCAAATGAGAACACCAAATGAGAAATGGGAACACTGGAAGAAAAATGATAATGTTTGTTGATCATCATCTGGACCCCTAGACCTGTTCTTAGTATTGCAGGTCAAGCAGATCATTCGACATCAATCAGATTGATGATTATCAGATTATTATTCGAATCTCTGATTTGAAAGATCGAAGATATCCTAAGAAACAATTTCCAGCTGTCTATACATATCATTATTACAGTTTTATCGACTCTCTGATAGATTTTATCAATATCCAATATGATTTTGAGGTTTTTTTTCGGTGCAGAGGAATTGCCGCGGCTGGTGCGTGTTAAGGATCAAACGAGTTCCAAACGAACGCCAGACTCCAGACTCCGATGCCGGAGCCCGAGTCGAAGCCCCGTCCTGACAACTTGATAAAGATTTCATGCCTTTGATTAATATGTTAAGTGTCTCTCCCCAGAAAAGCAAACGGCCAAACGGGATTTGCCGGCAAACACCAAACGCCAAAGGCAACAAAAAACTAACCAAAAAAAAAAAAAACAGAGAAGGAAAAGCAGGAAAAATCAGGAAACACGCACGATACGAAGGTGTCCGGAGTCCAGAACATGACAATAAATCAACTGCAAGTACAGTATGATGCGAGGAGGCAGGACTGCTCCCTGTTTGGCACTCCATGCCTGCTCTAAGGTGAGATGAAAACGAGGCTGGTGATGTCTAGTCGAGGATAAGGAGCCACTCCAATCCACTCCATAAGTTCAGTTGATTAATCAGAACTGACAACGAAAGCATGGACACATCAGGATTGTATATATTTAATTGAAATCACTGTGCCACAAGGGATTTGCCTCGCAATTTACATAAATAAAAGCTATGAAAAGTTAATCTGAAATGATTCAAAAACTTAATTACTCGAGTGCATTTTTCGTCGTATTTCGTTTCGTTCAATCAAGCTCCTCCTAACATATGTAAGTACAACTTTATTTACTCAATTGCTTACAATATTTCATTTTAAAATCATCTTT